GAACTCGCAATGCCATTGCTGGCTGCAGCTGGGGGGGGAGAGCCCTCTCTCCATGAGGACTCCCCACAGTTTACTAGCTGGAGTCCTTAGCGGGGTTGGGCCAGGTCCCCATGGTGGAGAGGGCTCCCTTCCTGCCCTTTACTCCCACAGCTGCTGCTGACGAATGACAGCTGGTCGGGGGGCAGAGATGAGGGGTTGCTTTAGCAGTGGCTGCCAAGCGAGAGACCCTGGACTCCTTCCCCCACAGTATCCTCCCTACCCGCCCAGCTGGGCTGTGGTGCACCACTAGGCTGGGCAGCTGCAGCGACAGAACCCCCCCCATTTTCTCCTCTGCCCCCCAGCCAGGCTGCACGTGGACCTGGGATTAGAGGCTATCACTGACTTGGGTCAGTGATACTCAAGGGGGCAGGGCCAGCCGAGCTGCTTAGAGGAAATGAGCTCTGCTTGAGGCTACAGCAGCCCTGTGAAACACCACCTAGGATGGTAGTGATTGCACCGTAAGTTAGCCCTCAATGGGATCTGTCATGGATGTTCGATAAAGCGCACTAACAGAAAGCACTTTAGGTTAGTACACATCCATCCAGGGTTACCTTAGGGCAGGATCTGCCATTTTTATAGAGTTTTATGTGCCGTGAACATCTGTTCTGTTATGGCTGTAAAGCACTTCCTGTGTGTTTAAAGCACATTAAATGTAAAGTTTGTACCTAGTCTTAAAGACTAAAGTCAGCAAGGCCACTGATGCCTGGGTTGCTTCTGTTTTCTTCTCAAGCTCTAGGCAGTGAGGTGAGGTCAAGTCTGTCCACATAATACTTTAATTTGTGCATTGTGTTGGTGAATCATTCTTTAATAGTCCTTATGTTTTCTATTGATATTAAATCTTTATGCAGAGGACTGTTTCTTTTTTATGCTCCCTCGAGATTCCAAAATGCAGTTTTCTATGCATATGTTGAAATATAGATTTAAGGCGAATGATATCCCTGCTTTAGAATTTATATAGAATGAGCCAAAAGAAAAAGAAAGGAATTGGTATTGCTTGCTATTCATTCAGTTCTATCAATTTGTGTTTTCAATAAAAGCCTATCAGTGTAATCTGTACTAAATTCTGTAGCACTCCACAAGGGTGACATTTATACTTACGTTTGTGGCTTCATGTCTTTTAAGGAATTATGTCCCCAGTAATTTAACAATGAGACGGTAAGAGCATGAAATAAGAGAATTTAGCTGTCATGCAAAATTGTTAGGATCCAAAGCTTGTCTTAATTTCTTTGAGAAGATTAATGATATTTTTGTATGCTAGTTTGTAATATCATTGTTTTAATGTTGTTTTATGTTATAAAGTTTGAGAAATTAATATAGGAGAGCATTCAACAATTATTATTATTTTCTAGTTGTAGGTGTTTGATATTGATGTTTTAGAATATTAATTTGTATATGTATTGTACAGACATGCATATATATAGCCAGAAATAGAATATGGGGATTCCTTTTTAACTTGTATCATGCATTTTGCTTCTGTATTTCATATGGTTTATGCAACATTTTAATTTACAATGCTCAGATCACATTATATTGTATTATGCATCAGTTTTTATTGTGGTTTTTATTAATATTTGAGGTGAATGTTGTTTCTACTGCAAGTAAGGAAGTATGAAATTACCGGCTAAAGAAAAACATAGTAGAAACAGATGTGTCATAATTTTGCGTACAACTTTGCCACTGTATATCAGTATATACATACTGAATATTTATTCTTTCAGGCGAATTAGGTACATCAATGTTGATATTAGATAATCAGTGTAAATACCAATAGATATTTTGACCTAGTCTCAAAACTTAATGTTTATTTCTACTTCTCATCAAATCATAGCTTTATAAAAAAATCACACTACTTTTTTTATTCCACAAAGGCTGCAGTGCATTCTGATGTGCTAAATTTATAATGTTTTCCTCTTTTTTCAGATAGTATAACAGATACAATTTCTTATTCTTTTTCAGATAAACACTGTGGTGGTC